GTACCTGACCTCTGCAGAAGCATCCAATTGCACCAAGTCTGGCTACACAGACAGAAGCGTGCAGCCAATGCCAGGTAAGGCCCCACTCCCTTACCTGAGAGCATATAAGGCCTACACGCTACTCTCCAGTGGACATTCGCTTCTCGCGACCTCTGAAACATGCAGTAACACACACAACAGAAGCAGCAACGTATGAATGACTTCTTTTTGTGAACATGATGGAACATCAACACATATATGAGATTCCCTCTCAGGATTCTGCCAGGGAAACTGTGGCAGTTGAAATGAACAATTTCTCAGAGTCAGATAATGGAGGGGTTTCACCTGAAGTCATCTATTTGAGAAGTACAGTCAAAGTGCATGTAAGACCAACACAGTGGCCGTGATTGTGACCGGTGCGGCTCTAACTGTGTTTCTAGTCTTCTACTATGGTAGAGTCTTTAATAATTGTATTAACGTCCATAATTTACCTGGGGTTTCCTCAGCAAGTGCCTCTGACACCTCTTTTCCCTCTTTTGAACTGTCTTTTGACATTGAAAGGCAAAAATCAAAACCCCGAAATTATTATGATCAAAGTAGACACAACTCTTATCCATCTGGATGCAACATTAAAACAAGCAATTATTCTTTGTAGTTACAGAATGTAAATAAGTCTTATGAAACTATACACGCATATTCACTTATTTTTTTAGATGCAATAACGACAGCGGCAAGGAACCAAAACTCCATCGGTGACAGAATGGAGAAAAAACCTTGGGAGAAACCAGGCTCAGTCGGGGGGCCAGTTCTCCTCTGACCAGACGAACCAGCAGTACGGAAAAATCAATATAAGACGTAATAAAACAGACGATGAATAATATTAACAGCAATTATTATATGATGCAATCAAACTTATAGCAAAATGTGGTAGTTCTGTATGTTGTTTCAGGGTTGGCATCATCTGAGGTCCTCTGAGGGGTTGCATCATCTCTTCTCAGGTGTTCTGGATCCAGACTGAAGCTTGTGTAAATCCTAGTTACCACGGGATGTTAATCCCGTGGCAAAAGACAGAGAAACAAATACAAACATAATTAGCGTAGCTGCTGTTCCAACCAAGCAAAAATGATTTGTTTAACCCAAACTAATGAATAATAATGTGCATTTGATTAGATATAACTGCAGTAAAAGATTATGACTGCAGTAAAAGATTATGAGATGCATTATTTGAATGCTTGGCCAAAGAGATGTGTCTTTAATCTAGATTTAAACAGAGAGAGTGTGTCTGAACCCCGAACGGTATCAGGAAGGCTATTCCAGAGTTTGGGAGCCAAATGCGAAAAAGCTCTACCTCCTTTAGTGGACTTTGCTATCCTAGGTACTACCAAAAGTCTAGAGTTTTGTGACCTTAGGGAGCGTGATGGATTGTAGCGTGGTAGAAGACTAGTTAGGTATGCAGGAGCTAACCCATTAAGGGCCTTATAGGCAAGTAATAATATTTTGTAACTGATACGGAACTTAATAGGTAGCCAGTGCAGAGACTGTAAAATTGGGGTAATATGATCATATTTTCTTGACCTGGTAAGGACTCTAGCCGCTGCATTTTTGACTATCTGTAGCTTGTTTATTGAAGATGCAGGACAACCACCTAGCAGTGCATTACAGTAGTCCAGTCTAGAGGTCATGAATGCATGAACTAGCTTTTCTGCATCAGAAACAGGTATCATGTTTCGTAACTTGGCAATGTTTCTAAGATGGAAGAATGCCGTTTTTGTAACATGGGAAATATGGTTTTCAAAAGACAAGTTGCTATCTAATATAACACCCAGATTTTTGACTGTAGAGGAGGTAACCGTGCATCCGTCTAGTTGCAAATTGTAATCCACGAGATTCGGCGTACTGTCTTTTGGTCCAATAAGTAATATCTCTGTCTTATCCGAATTTAATAGGAGAAAATTATTGGTCATCCATTCTTTTACATTTTTAACACACTCCGTTAGCTTAGATAATTTAGAAGTTTCATCTGGTCTTGTTGAGATATATAGTTGAGTATCATCGGCATAACAGTGGAAACTAATCCCGTATTTCCTAATAATATTACCAAGTGGCAACATGTATATCGAAAATAGCAGAGGACCTAGGACAGATCCTTGTGGCACTCCATGTTTTACTGGTGATAATTGAGATGACTCCCCATTTAAATGAACAATGTGGTAGCGATCGGACAGGTAGGATCTAAACCATCTTAAAGCCTGCCCTTGGATACCTGTATAGTTTTGTCATCGATCTATGAGTATGTCATGATCTATAGTATCGAATGCAGCACTAAGATCAAGTAAAACTAGCAATGAGATACAGCCTTGGTCTGACGCAAGAAGCAAGTCATTTGTAATTTTAACAAGTGCAGTTTCTGTGCTATGGTGGGGCCTGAAACCTGACTGAAATTCTTCATAGAGATCATTTTTTTGCAGGCAGGAGCACAATTGAGCAGACACAACTTTTTCTAAAATTTTAGACATAAAAGGAAGATTTGAGATGGGTCTGTAATTTTCCAGTTCACTAGGATCTAGTTGTGGTTTCTTAATAAGAGGCTTAATGACCGCCAGCTTGAATGTTTTTGGGACGTGACCTAAAGACAACAACGAGTTAATAATATTGAGAAGCGGTTCTTCTGCTACAGGTAACAACTCTTTCAGTAATTTAGTGGGTACAGGATCTAACAGGCATGTTGTTGGTTTAGATGCAGTGATAAGTTTATTTAGCTCTTCCTGTCCTATAGTTGTAAAGCACTGCATTTTATCTTTTATCAGTTTATATCTATTCTGTGGTATCCACTTTTTTTGACTGAAATTATATTACAGCAATCAAAGACTTCAACGATGGCTTTTTGTCTGATGCTGTTTCACCCAATGCCTAACTGTACAAGACCTGACACTTGACATTGTTTTTTCTGAAAGCCTTTCAGTCAGAGGCGCAATAACGTTTATTACAGTGGCTGAAGCCTTTTAGTCTGAGGTACAATGCCTCTTTGTCATATAACTGAGGTCTGAGGATGTCCTAAATTGTGCACCGTATCACTGTCTTGTGAAATGTGCCAAGAATACACTTGTAACACAATTACTGTATCAGGAGGCAGGATTATGTCAGTGTAATGAGTTTGTGGGCGGCAAATGGAGAAGACAGAGATATGAATGAAAAGTGTAAAAGTATCCCTATTTTAACTTTTTGCTAGCAGATTTTAGAAGGTTAGAACAGAGAGGCAATAGTTTTGCCTTATAAAACATAGGCCTATAATAATATTTTAGAACAAGAAAGCATTGTGGTTCATTTTTATGCAAAATAAAACATGTTAAATCTTTACTTTAACCAATTTTTGTGTACATTGAACATAACTGAAACTCGATCAGAAATACTGTAGATTTTAGTGCAAAGCTGTGTATTTGTGTGCCGAGTGCTAGTGTGATTTTTGAACAAGGCAGTAGCTGCTCTGTGTCACTGTGACTCTCTGGCGCAGTAATACACAGCTGTGTCTTCAGTCTGCATATTCTGTCCTTTCAGAGTCACTGTGTTGCTGGAAGACTCTCTGGTAACTTGAAATCTACTTTTCAGTTTATCACTGTAATATGTGTTACCGCTACCCCATATCTCTCCACCCCATTCCAGGGCTT